TGGATGCTAAAACGTGCAGCCCGACATCAGGATAACTCGGGGAAGAGGTGCTTTTTGGTGGGTGATGAAAAAAGATGCTTATAACTTCCTCCTTCTCCCCCCCCCCAAGGAAACCAATGCTGCGGAGAAACCGCTGTCACCTTTTTAACAGATTTTTTGGTATTCTGGTTGGGGTATGTGTTATAGCTTGGAGGCTTCTTACTTTTTGAAAATAGTGTTGGGTTTACAAGGCTTGTGTTTTTGTGCCCTGGCCGGGCAGGGCCATGCCCGCAAGAAAAAACTGGGAGTACTTTTTTGTCTTTGTGCCAGGCTGTGTGTGAGTGAAGGGGAAAAATTGGGATACGAAGTGGAAAGGGCCCTATTTGCAGCATTGAGTGGCGCGAAATATGAACTAATTGGCGGGGCGCATGGGGGTCCTGTGCAGACAGTCATGTCTACCCGTCTATTTCAAACCTCTGCTCTCTGTCTAAAGAGACCCCACGGGGACTGTGTCACATTTTTTACTCACATCTTCAAGCGATTTAAAAGCATTTTGTTGGATTTCTTGGTTACCCTAGGTATTTATATATGTATACTTGTATTTAGGTACCTGTGAACAGAGTTAGACAACAGATAGAAAGAGGAGACAGATTGAAAGAGAAGAAGAGGGAGAAAGATAAAACCCCATTGTGTTATGACCCCATGTTTCAGAGTTCCCAAAAAAGCTGCAGAACTAATAGGAATATTTTCAGGACTTATTGGTTATTATTATGAACATAATAAAAAACAATGTTTTGTATTTTTGTTTTTGTAAAAAAAGTTTTGAAAACAATATATTAAAATTATGTTTGTGTGTTTTGGTTGTATAAACAGTGATAAATGTACTTGCACCTATTTTGGGCTCATAGGCCACATAGTTATGGAAAAAAAAAAAATAGTTTAAAAAAAACAAACCTTTTAAAAAAAGTAAACTAAAGTTTTCCGGGTGACGGCAGTCGCGCTTTGCCATAACGGCTCATTTTTTTGCAACTTCATATCCTATTCCGTAAGTATTTTATGGTAAAATTTTTTTTTTTTATCCTATAAAGTTTAGAAAAAAAAACTTTTTTTTCATAAGAAAAAATAATTTTTTTTTTTTTTTTAAATTTGGCGACCTGAAACGAGTTTCGGAGGGGGCCTTTTTCGGACCTCAAAGGGGTTTTAATGTTTAGAAGGGAATCCCCCTCCATTAGGACTTGAGGGGAGCAAGTCTTTTTTGGGTTACTTCCCTTCTTCTTTTTTAAAGCCACAGGACCAGCTTGAGAGTCACTGGACTTTTGTCGCCAACAAATCTGTCCATAGGGCCTGTACTCTCGTTTTTTTTCCCTTTTTCTTTCCTAAATGGTTCACAACATTGTCAGTGTACGGTTGCCCTACGGCTTTAGTAGCTGTGTCAGGGTGTTTTTTATCAAAAAAGGGTTTTCACTTCAAGCCCCTTTGACAATTTCCCTTTAACTTTGAAATAGGCAACTTCGTAATTTTTCTATCCCCCCCTCCCCAAGCAGTTTCCTCAGGTCTGGCCTCTTTCTGTTGAAAATGACTAGCACTCATCGTGGTTTGTTCGTCATTGTCCTTTCCCCCCGAAACTTTCCACATCCTCCCCCCCCAACCCCCACCTCAAGGACTTTCCCAAAGCCACAATGGATACCCCAATGGATAGGATTCCAGGGTTAGCCCAAAAAACCTTTAAAATCCCTTTTTTCACATTTGGGCCCCAGTTTCTTCAAGAAGTTCAAGGTCCTTTAGCACTCCTCCCAAGCCTTACCCATAAGGTTTACAAATTGAGGATATTAAAGTGATCTTTCCAAAACTCCTTTTGAGTCAATAGAGTTTCTGTGGTCACTTAAAAGCACTTTAAACATAGCTTTTGTGTACATTTTCTTTAAGTTGGAAATGACCTCTGGGAAAGGGCTCAGGGGAGGGTGGGATTTGGGGAAAAAAATTGACCCTTTAAAGAAGCTCAGTCCCACAAAAACGCTCTGCCAATTTTTGGGGTGACCAGGGGCATTTTTAAAAACCCGGAGGGGACTTTAAAGGGCAAAATTTTTTTTCAATTAGGGAATTTTTTCAGGGGGGCAAATTGGTGAACCAGCATAGAAAAAACCCTTAAAAACCTGCCTTAAATGTTTGCCCTCCCACACCACAATTTGCCTTTTGGGTATTCTTTTGCCCAACGCTCTGGGATTTTGAGTGATCACCAATAAAGGCTTACTTTGCAAACATACATTGGCACTTCAACAGATAAGCCCCGTCTTTCATAGGGTTATGTCTGGGGGGGCCCTTTCCCCCTGAGTATGTAGGTCCCGCTTGGCAAAATTTTTTTTTTCCAAAAAGGCCTGTTTCGTCACAATTTTAAAACTTTTCAGGTTTGTCCTTCAGGCCTCTAGTATCCTTGAATTTTGCCTATTTTTCCTGCTTTTTGGGCTGAACTGGGAGCCTCACCAGCCCAATCACCAATGTATGCCACTACGTTCTTAAATCTTTCAAAACCCAAACCCTTTTCTGGCCTTAAAATTTATCCTCACCACTAGTTGCAGGCATTTTTTAATTTAAAACCTATGCAATGCCTAGCCTTTTCGCAAGTGATCGCTTTAGAGATGTATTCCAGCTATCGTTTTTTATTTTTCCAACCCCAATAACAGTCTCTCAAAATTTTTAAACTTGCAAATTTTGTTTTGTAACACGTTGCACTTTTCAAGAACGCTTCCTTTTGCCGTTTTCCCCCCTTTTTTTTTTTTTGTAGAGATGGGTTTATTGGGATTTACTATAAACTAGCCCGGTCGACACACGCACCCACTTTCATACTTTGCAATTAACCTTCTTCATTTCAATAGTCATTAGCACCCCTTTGGTTTTGATGGGTTGGCATAAAGTTTCTTGGGGCCCAGGTGATTATTTGCAGAAAAAAAGCACAAAATCATTTATAATTGGATAATATGGAATGTACCGAATGTTCCCTTTGATGCGCCACACTGGTGGGTTGTAACACTGGCACACACGGGGGATTTAGGCCCACGTGGACACTATTTATGAAGTATGGTACCGGGTTTTGTAACGGGAAAAGAGGAATTTTTTTTCGATATAATGCTTTGGAAAACCCATTTATCAGTTCTATGACTTCGCGAACCGGGGGTCCAATATATTTTTATACCTTTTTACAATAATGCATTAGCTGCATAACAGTAAACTTCTATTTTTTGTGTGAAAAAAAATTCACATGGAAAGCGGTTAATATAGAAAGGCCCGAATGTGACTAAAGAACGAGAAAATTTATTTTTGTGTAAGTGTTTGTTTTTTTAATTTGGGTGTTTGAAAAAACCTTCTTAATTTTTATAAATTTCCAATTACCCCAACTGATCACTTTTTTGGGTAGTTGAAATTGGAAATGGTCAGTTTTTTGCACTCGTCGTATTACAAAAAGGGGTTCTAGCAAATAGCTATGAGTTTTGGTCGATGGAACAAGGAATTAGCCAAAAAAAAGGCTCAAAATGGGCGAAACGCCCATGCGTAATTTGTTAGCCCTACCAGAGAGCACAATTTTATAAGTTTTTTTATAAAATTTGGCTTTTTGGGGTCATTACCATCGGGGGAAAAAATTCTCTGTCATTTAAAGTTTTTCTTTTTTAATTTTCAACCTGAGAACAAGTTTTTGGCAGAGGGGCCCCGCAGTGAAAGGGTTTTTAAAAACAAGGTAATAAAAAGGTTTTTGTGCTTAATTTTCACCAACATCCATTTTATTTCACATACAGGCAAGAATGTTGTACAAAAATTGTCAGAGTATCTTGTTTCACTACTTCATAAATTGCGAGAATTGCTAAAACTCAAAAAAAAAAGGAAGGGGGGGGGGGGGCTAAAAAAGTCATTGTGTCACCATGTGTAGAGGCTCTCCCACAAGTTTTAATCTGACAAATATCATGCTTTCTTGAACCTGTCTATCCATCTATGGCAATATTCACAAGGATAATGGATATTCAGTTCTTTGTGGAATAGTCTTGCATTCTTCATGAAACACTGCTCAGAGAGAGAGGCAAACCTTCCATGAGAATTTATAGTGAAGGCAAATTATTTGTTTAAAATGGAAAAAGAATCCTTCCTCCGTAAGCCATGTGTGTTGTAAAAGGTGAATAAAATGCCTGGAACAAAGGGCTAGTAACCCCTTCTCCTCTATAAATTGCTAAATGGAAAAAGAAGAAAAACTTTTGTTTTTTCTTTTTTGGTTCACCCTTCCTCATTGGGATATAACAGGTGTGTTAAAAAAAAAAAACATTCCTGTTTTGTTCGTATGTCCTTTATGATGTATTGATGGGTACAATTAACCCTTAAACTGTCCAAGCAGATCTACGTTCATATGCATAGTGCTCCAAAAGTAGATCTACATTTTTTTTATATATTTTCAGTTATAACAAAAAAAAAAAGATCAAAGTTTTTTTTCACGTTTTCAAATTAAAAAAAAAAAAAAATTACTTTTTTTACATACTTTCAAATGTTGAAAAAACGTAGATCTACGTTTGGACAGTTTAAGGGTTAAGAAGTTAATTGGTGTGCTTCATGGATATTTATAGAGACCTCTTCACATAGTTATGACACTTAACTGCCAAATGCTAATAACAGGTCTGGTTTATACATGAAAGAGTACACTACCTACATACCTGTAGATGGTGTTGGAGGTTACTCTCCCCCCCCCCCCCACACACACACTTTTCCTCAACCCATCTTGGACCAGGTCTCCTCATTGATGGCTCAGTCTGGTTGTTGGTACTAGATACAAACAGTCCAATACAAGCATCACTTCCCAACTAATCATTAATACTTACTTTTGCAAGCATAATATAGTACTAGCATAATGATACCAGAAGCATGTGTGATGTAGTAAGTTGTTAGTACAAGCGTGATACTAGAATCATATGTGATGTAAGCTGTTATTGCAATTCTTAATGTATGTGTGAATCAGTATTTTAATATTGAAGCTTGCACGCCCACAGAGGATGAGAATGTGAGTGACCCTCAAGTGTTTATGTCAGCACTGTGTGAGGAAGAGTGTTTACGTGACAATAACAAGTACTGGTGTGACCACTGTTTCCATCACAACGAGGCACGACGCTCCGTCCACTATTCACAACTGCCGCATCATCTCGTCATTCATGTTAAACGGTTCAGCTCATATCATAGGTAGGTCTACTTCTGAAACTATTTTGGGTCAATAAGTACTGAAATAGTTATAAATGTTTCATTCAATGTAAATAACCTAATGTAAAGAAAATCACTCTTTATCAACATTAATTTATAAGTAAATTTACATTTTTTTTGTCACTGACCATATTCCACTGAGGTAGGTTAATTTGTAAAATAAATAAATAAATAATTATTTGTTACAAATATGTAATAGACTGACATCTTTAATTATAATTACTAGAAAAGTGTTTGTGTCAATGATTCCAGGAATCTTCTCCCCCAGTTTTGATCTTTTTGTAATATTTCTAAAGAAGGTGTTTCTGAATGAAATATTACAGGAATAAAAATTAAGAAATACAGGAAAGCAAAAAAGTGTATACTAAATGTAAATTAAAATTTATAAGATTGATCAGCCATTTTACGCATTTGAGACCAAAAGAAAAGATTAGTAATTCTGCTAGTGGGCAAAATTTTCAAGTTTTGTGTTTCACATTCTTATGACAGAATGGTATTACCTTTCTGGATGGTTATTGTGGTATTGTCTACTATTCTATTACCTACTGTATGGTATTTTCCACATAGAGTACCTGCTTATCATTTTCATGCATTATTTTGATTGGCAGCAATACTTAATCATTCCTTAAGAGCATGATTAGGGAAGTTATCCCAGTGACATAAAAGACTAAACAGAATAAAACAGCTATTCATTTATGCTGATTGCTATGTGCATTATTGTAGAAGTTAGTTGCAAGGTAATAACACAGTAAGACTGTTGTTCATACATGCCAATCCCTCTACATGTGAAGTATATTACCCACCCAGTGAATCATTGAAAACACCACTATCATGTATATTAGATATTCCATGTGTACAACTTAACCTGGGTAAACACTCCATGCATATCAAAAGGCCCAATATTTGAAACAACCTGAAGGATCAGAATCTCCTTATTTCTCAGTAGCTTCAAAAACAGTCAAAAAACATCTTTTGATGTAGTATTAAATAGGTGGCATTCATCAGTATATACAGCATCAGTGGTATTTTGTACTGCTAACTTATTCACTTGTTACTTCCCCATTGTATCTAAACCACTTTATATATGAAAATTATTAATGCTGAATTAAAACACAAGACTAAAATTACATGTTATTTTCCTCATTTAAATATTTGTACTAGTATTAAATGGTTCATAAGTATTACTTTGTTTGTCAAAAATGTTTCTGAAAATAAGGGGACTTCCTTAGTATTTACAAAAAGATGCATAAGGTAATTCCAGAGTTGAATCTGCACCTTGTAATTCTTGGGATATAATTGATTTAATTTGATTATGAATTGCTAATTAGAGTATATACCCTTACTGCATAAATTACTATATATTAAAGAAAAACTATGAAAGCATTTCTTCTGTTTCGGGTCTTCTCATCTTAGTGGGAGATGGCCACTGCGTTAAAAAAAAATACAATGTACACCTACTCTCCGACTTAAGACCAAGTTTGGTTCTGACCAACTGGTCGTAAGTCAGAATGGACACAAGTCGAACCTTACTACTGAATATCAACATCACATTTTTGTAAAGACCTTATTTGATTGTTTTATTCTGGTATTTCATTTTTTACATTGCTTTTTATGCTGTTAGTACTGTGTTTTATACTGTAATGTTTAGGATAAACACTGTGTACATCACAAACAGTTGTTTATATTTCCCAGAAATTTGGCATACAAAACATGGTCGTAAGTCGAGTGGTCGTATGTCGAGAAGGTCGTAAATCGGATGGTAGGTGTATGCTTAATGAGTCTATATCACAGCCTTCTGATTATGAAAAAAAAATTCTGCCTGGGGTTCTAATATACATTAAAAGTCATTCTCCAATACACACCCTACTGGCTCCAGCACAGTCCATAGCATGTTGTACACCAAGTATAGTGCCCCCTTCAGCATTGCTTGCTAAGGTAGTAGTCTTGTTATGTACAAAATCAGCTGTGAGCTTGATAAAGCTCCAAATTCCAGTGTACATTTGAAACATCACAGCTGGGTTGGGGAAAACTGTGGGCATTGCTGTGGCTCTTACACAAATATGAGTGTCTTGAAGTTTTTCAGTCAGATTTGCACTATTCTAGCCTTGGGAAAGGGGGGGATCTATGCTATGATACTACCAGTATCATAAAATAAGAAGTGTGATGGACCATCCTGGGGTCAGAGAGGTGAGGATTGGTGTAAATGAGGCAGTGTGCTCCAGGTGAGTGCCCCTTGAGTTTCAGCCTCAAAAATATTTTTACAATGAATTATATTATTCCTATTACTTTTTTTTTTTTTTTGTAGAAATATGTTTACGGCGAAGTGCAGTGAAGCCATGCCAGCACCTTTAGAGCTCTCGTGTTTCTGTCGAGGTTGTCTCTCGGAGCAAATCCGGAAGCAGTCATTAGCTGAAGAAGAACGGGATAGCAAAGGACCTAGATCAAATTCTAATAGTAAATGTGACACTGCTGTACACCTTCCTTACCATCTTACTGCTGTTGTCTGTCATCTTGGAGCTACTCTCTCATCTGGTAAGAATGTCAGTCATCTGAGAGCTACTCTCACATCTGGTAAGAATGTCTCCAAATGTAACAATTAGGAGACAGAGAGTGAGTAGCTTACAAAGCAGAACTGATACTACTAGACTAGACAGTAATTTGAATTGATCATCATCATCATCATCATCATCATCATATCATCATCATCATCATCATCATCATCATCATCATCATCATCATCATCATCATCATCATCATCATCATCATCATCATCATCATCATCATCATCATCATCATCATCATCATCATCATCATCATCATCATCATCATCATCATCATCATCATCATCATCATCATCATCATCATCATTCATCATCATCATCATCATCATCATCATCATCATCACATCATCATCATCATCATCATCATCCATCATCATCATCATCATCACATCATCATCATCATCATCATCCATCATCCATCATCATCATCTCTCCTCCCTCCTCCTCCTCCTCCCTCCTCCTCCTCCTCCTCTCTCCTCCTCCTCCTCCTCCTCCTCCTCCTCCTCCTCCTCCTCCTCCTCCTCCTCCTCCTCCTCCTCCTCCTCCTCCTCCTCCTCCTCCTCTCCTCCTCCTCCCTCTCCTCCTCCTCCTCCTCCTCCTCCTCCCCTCCTCCCCTCCCCCTCCTCCTCCTCCTCCTCCCCCCTCCCCTCCTCCTCCTCCTCCCCCCCCCCTTTTCTTCCTCTTTTTCCTTTTCTTTTTCCTCTTCCTCTTCCTTTTCCCTTTTCCCCTTTTCCCCTTCCTCTTCCTCCCCCCCTTTCCCTTCTTTTTTCCTCCTCCCCCTTTTCCCTTTTTCCTCCTCCCCTCCTCCCCTTTCCTCATCCCCCTTTTCCTTTCCCCTCCCCTCCATTTGTCTTGGGCAGGGCATGCCTAACACAGTTAAAAAACTGAAAACATATCAACACCCCCCCTTCAGAATGCAGGCATTTTACTTCCCCCTCGGGACTTAAGTCCATCTTCTGGTTTCCCTGAATCCTTTTTTACAAATATTACTTTGCTCACACTCCAGCACATTTTGTATAAAAACCATTTGTCTTCACTCCTACTAACTGCCCCGACACATGCTTGCGGAAGCCCAGACCCTCAACCCCAAAACCCCCTTTTCCCCCTCCCTCCAACCTTCCCAAATTTTACCCCGCACCCCCCCCTTCTATCCACTACAGATTTATATCTCTCCAAGTCGTTCTATTTTTTTCCTCCTGTCTAAATGCCCAAAACCCCCTCAAAAACCTCACCTTCTCCTAATTTTTTTTAAACTACAATTCTTTTCATTTTTTCACACCACACATTGCCTTAATGCAAAATACACTTTCTCCGCCTTCCCTTTTTGCAACATTCACCCCCCCATGTTTTACTCCATGAAGAGCATGGTAAAACTATACTGCAACATTCCCCCTTTGCTTCCAGGATTACATTTATATACCCATAGCCCCACAAAAACCACTCCCAAAACTCCTCCTTCACTTAACGACAAAATTTTATTCCCTTTGACCACGCAGAAACGAATTTGTCGCAAGTGGAGCAAAAAATAATCGTAGGGGTTTGTTCAGCCCTGTTTTGATATTGTTTTTACTGTCACCTTTGCACCATTTAAAAAATTTCTGGTATTTTTTTTTAACCCTTTGACTGTTTTGGCCATATATAACACTCTTAAGAGCCATGTTTCAGACGTATATATACTCGATAATTCTAGTGGCTTCAAATCAAGCAGGAGAAAGCTGGTAGGCCCACATGTGAGAGAATGGGTCTGTGTGATCAGTGTGCACCATATAAAAATAAATCCTGCACAACGCAGTGCATAATGAGAAAAAAAAACTCCGACTTTTTTTTTAATTAAAATGCTGACTTTGTGGTCTATTTTCCTATAGTATTTATGGTCGTATTCTCCTTTTCTTGGTCTCATTTGATAGAATGGAAAACATATTATAGAAATAGAGGTGATTTTGATTGGTTTTACTGTGAAAAGAACCTTGAAATGGAGCTCAAAGTAGGGGAAATGTTGGATTTTTGCTGATGTTCAAATGATGTCATTTTCCAATAAATGTCCATGTAGCCATTCTAATATGCAGTCATGAATGGGTTGACATTATTTATACAATTATTACAATATTGCAGTAGTCTGCATAACAGTAAATCTTCTATTTTTTGTTTGAATCAAAATTCAAAATAGAAAGCAAGAGTAATATCAGAGGGGCCTGGAGACATGACTGATGAACAAAGAAAATGTTATTTTAGAGCCAGGGAATGTCTGCATTGTTCATTCTGGACCCTATTTTGTAATCATCATATTTTTTAAATTTTTGTGAAATTGGCCAAATTGCAAATTTCTGACCATGTTATTTGGTAGTTGAAATCAGTAAATGGGCAGTTTCCTGTACTCAATCGATAGAACAAATGGAGTTCTAAAGAAATAGCTATGAATTTGGTCGACTGGAACAATGGAATTAGCCGAAAATAGGGCTCAAAATGGGTGAAATCGCCAATTTGTAAATATCGCCGCGGTCGCTAACTTTGCGAGAGCGTAAGTCCTTCGGTTTTCTATCAAATTTCGTTCTTTTGGTGTCGTTACAATCAGGAAAAGATTCTCTATCATTCTAAAAAGAATTTTTTTTTTTTTCAGAAATTTTGCGACATCAGGAGACACCTCAGGATTTGGGGTTGCGCCAATCAAGGGGTTAATGTTTATACAGTAGTGTACTGTATATTGTAATAAACAAAATAGAGGAAATCAGCTTTAATATACATAATTTAGGTATGCATACCGGTCGGAGAGCCCGTCGTTGGTCCAAGTCGTTGGTAAACGAATATGTTGCTAAGTGAGAAGAGGCTGTATCTGAATACATTCACTTCTTCCATACTCCTTCGTATCTGATCTTTCATTACCTAAATTTTTTGTTATCCTCATCACCTTACTCTTTCCAATGTTCATTTTTAATTATTGGACACAAAAGAAAGAATAGGACAATAGTACAGTACATATTTAGTAAATAGACACAACCCCTTGTACTTTCTCCGTGATGCTGCTTTCATGGGTGATTCGAGTCAGCTTCTCTTCTGTCTACAATAAATAAATTTCATGTTTAACTCAACAGCTGTCTTCTGCTAGGGCAGGGTGGCCTAGAAAAAGAAGAAAATGAATTCACCATTGTACACTCAGTTGCTGTCTTTCAGAAGTTTGGTGGCATCACAGTCAGATTACTCTCCAACTTCAACCATCCCCAGTGCAGGCACTGCCCTTCCTACCTTCAGGACTATGGCTAACCACCTCTAAGAAATATATTCATTAAAGTTACTTTGCTCACACTCCAACAGTACATCCATTAAAAACCATGTCACCATTCAATCCTATCAGACATGCTAGCACAAGTGTGCTGGGTACTCAGGCCCCTGGAACTCGAAGCCTCTTTCCCTCCCTCCCCTCTCCCTTTCATCCAACCATTTCTGGGGTGGCCCTTACCCTTCCTACCTTTCACCCAGGATTTATGTACCCTCTTTGTCAATATATTCCTCTTCTGTATGACCCAAACCACCTCAACACCTCTCCTCAGCCCCCTGAATTATGCACCTTGGTGACCCTACATCACCTTTTAATTTCTGTGCTTGGATATTCACACAACACATTGTTCTGAGGTGTGATATCGCTGCCTCTAGCTGCCGTCTCACTTCAGTATTTAAAACACATTCCTCAAACCTCTATAAAAGTGTTGGAACCACCATACTCTGATACATTCCCTTCTTTACCTCCATAGATAAACTTTTTTCCACAGATACTTCAACACACCACCCACCTTTTGCCCCTTATCTTGTCTATAGTTCACCTCATCTTTCATAAATCCATCTGCTCATATATCCGCTCCCATATATTTTTTTTAATATTAATACTTGCTGACTCCCACTGAGGTAGGGTGACCCAAAAAAAAAAAAAAAAAAAAACCACTTTTACCATCACACTATCACCATTTTGCCAGTGGCTCTTCGACATTGCAAGTCAAATGCCCTTCCAAACTGCAATTTTTCCTTCATCCTTCAGGGCGCATTCACTATACTTCTCACGTCCAGGACTTGAGTCTGGTTCCCTGAATCTCTTCATAAATGTTACCTTGTTCACACTGATTCCTCCATATTCCTTCTCTCCAATCTGATATTCACACTATCATTACCTAGATTTTTTGTTATCTTGCTCTTTTCTACATTCTCCTTTAATTTCCTTATTTAATATACCCTCACAAATCCATCCACCAGCAGTTGTGTCTTGTCTTCAGAATCTCCTAAAAGAACTGCATCATTAGTAAAGAGCAACTGGATAACTCCCACTTTGTCAGAGATTTTACAGTTTTAAAAAGAAAAATTAATTGACTTCTACTTAACACCTAGCTGGTCTAGTGGCTAGCGCGACGGGCTGGAGTTTTGAGACTCTATGACCGCGGGTTCAATCCCGGCCGGGGGTATGGTTTACCTAGCCTTTGTTAACCCTTTCAGGGTTTTGGCCGTACTAGTACGGCTTATGCACCAGGGTTTTTGACGTACTAGTACGCCTAAATTCTAGCGCCCTCAAATCTAGTGAGAGAAAGCTGGTAGGCCTACATATGAAAGAATGGGTCTATGTGGTCAGTGTGCGCTGTATAAAAAAATCCTGCAGCACACAGTGCGTAATGAGGAAAAAAAACTTAGATCGTGTTTTTGGATTAAAACAGCGACTTTGCACTGTATTTTCGTATGGTATTTATTGTTGTATTCTAGTTTTCTTGGTCTCATTTTATAGAATGGAAGACATATTACAGAAATTGAATTGATTTTGACTGGTTTTACAAAGAAAAGTACCTTGAAATTGTGCTCAAAGTAGCAGAAATGTTTAATTTTTACTAAAGTTGAAAAGTAAACAAATCATGCTATGCGTCCAATACGTGTCAACTGGTGAGTCTAATATTCTTTCACAAGTGCGCTGATAATACTTATACCATTTCTACACTAATGCAGTAGACTGCATAACAGTAAATCTTCTATTTTTTTGTGAGAATAAAAATTCAAAGTGGAAAGCAAAAGAATGTAAGAGGGGCATGGGGACATGACTAATGAACAGAGGAAATGTTATTTTAGTGCCAGGAATGTCTTTCTTGTTTATTCTGGACCCTATTCGGAAATTGGCATCTTTTGAAATTTGTGTGAAATTGGCAAAATTGCTAAATTCTGACCACTGTATTGGATAGTTGAAATCAGTAAATGGGTGGTTTCTTGTACTCATTCGATAGAAAAAAATGGAGTTTTAACGAAATAGTTATGATTTTTGTTGACAAGTACACTGGAATTGGCCGAAAATAGGGCTCAAAGTGGGCAAAATCGCCGATGCGTAAACATTGTTGAGACCACTAACTTCGCAAGAGCATAACTCCGTAAGTTTTCCATCAAATTTCATACTTTTGATGTCATTATGATTGGGAAAAGATTCTCTATCTTTTCATAAGAAATAATAATTTTTTTTTTTTTTTGAAATTTGGCCGACCCTGAGAACAAGTCTCTTGGAGGGCCTGTCAACCCTGAAAGGGTTAAAAAATATAGAGTAGACCCTTGACTAAGACCGTAGTTATGTTCCTGGAAATGGCATCTTAGACAAAAAAACATGTTAAGCAATTGAAGACCATGTGAAAAAAAATAGGGCTACGTTCCCGGGACTTCCAGATATGCCAAACAAATTTTTTTAATGTGATAAATGGTTTAGAAAACCAACAAGTTGAAGATTGAGACATAGAATCATTCACTAGTCTAAGTTGGTCTTCATCTAAAGGTTGGACAAGTTTTGAAGAATTTTTTGTATCAAGATCCCATGATGCTGCAGTGTCTGAAAGATGTGATAAACAGTTTTTTTTAAACCATTTATCACTTCTGTCAGACACTGCAGCATCATGGGATCTTGATAAAAAGAAATCTTCAAAACTTGTCCAACGTTTGGACGAAGACCTACTTAGACTAGTGGATGGTTCCACTATGACCCCGCCTCCTCCGGCTTCGCCTCGCCTGACTACAGTATATAAGCCATGTCTACGGCTCTATGCTGTACATTCTACAAGATTGATGGACTGAATACATCGACTCCAGGCTGAGGGACTGATTACCTCAAACTCCTCCTCTCCTTACACCTTACTGCTTTGTATTGGACTGATGAAGCTACTGTGTGGCAAAATGTTTCCTCAATAAAGATTCCCATATGTTGCGTAAGTGTCTCAGTGTTCAAATTTTTTAAAATTTATTTTGTCAAAAATTATGAATTTTTTGATATCGTTCATTGTAAATATTGCTTGTTGATTTAGAAATGTGTTATGTACCGTACCAAAATCCTAAATAAAAACTTAATTTACTTAAACTCATCAAACTCATTTTCTGAGGCCAAGGGTAAGCTGATGTTTGATGCAGTATTCTGCCTGTTCCGTCCACAGAAAATTGGCATGGCGTTCTGTCCAGAGAAAATGTAGGATGCTAATATGCCGCCAGTGACCATCATAAATTTAATGCACAACTTTATCAATTGAAAATATGCCAAAAAGTAGAAAGAATTCTTTGATTCTCTTGCATCTAGATGTAGTGTTTGGAGATAGTTGGGTAGCTCAGTTATGGAGTACAATTGTGGGTCTCCTGTTAGCTTACACTACTCAGATTTCTGTGATCATGTATTTTTTATCAGCTGATGAATGGGATGTCTGTTGAGGTTAAGAGTGCCATTACAGCATACATCATATTGAACCAGAGTGAGCATCCTCCTTTTCCTGGGTCATGTGAATCTCTGAATAGAAACGTTTTTATGCCTGAGCCATCGCTTTTAAAACTTTTATGTCATGCTATTCAAGATTTACAGCATTCTATTCAGACGTAACTCTACATTATAATTTTTCAACTATGGTTTCAGAAAAATGTACTTTTTAAAGTACATTCCTTTTGAGGGAGCTACTTAATTAGCATTCCTTTTATTATGCTTTTTATTGTGTTTCTAAATGATCATTAAAATACACTATTTTTGTTTCTAATTAATTGATATGTGCACTTTTCATCCCTGATAGGACATTATTTGTCATTTGTTCGGCTTAGTGGTCTTCATTCTTCAAAATGTCCAGAGCAGCAGCTACAGCAACCAACACAGCTACAGCCACCCAACAGTGCCAAGGTAGAATGTCAGTGGAGCAAATGCTGTGGACTGAAGCTGGATCACATCCGTCCTCAGTCAGCTGTAAATGGCCATTTAGGTGAGAATATTTTATACCCTTCAATAACTTTACACACTGTGAAACTTCTTTTCAAGTGAGTGCAGTAAAAACTGCTTTAAATGACATAACCACTTGATGAACTATTTTTCAGAGTTTCTATTAACCATTCACAGTGCTAGTTTGGTGATTAAGACAGTTTAACAAACTGAAATAGAAGAAATACAATGCATAATAGGTGGAATGACTTGAAATCATCCTAGAACAGCACATAATTCTCAGCAGTGTACAAACTATAACATATCATTGGAAAAACAATAAACATAAGCAAAGCCTTAGAAAATTTTAATATTAGTAAATTCATGTTTTTTCTCTTGTGCCAATTCTTACTTTTTCCACAGTGATTTGTTATAGTTTGTACATCGTTTGGAACTGTCTTGGCAGTAATCTCCTGGTTCATGTAGGACATATAAGCACCACTTCTTTTTGTGCTTAGTTAACTTAATTTCAAACTCTCTCTGATGTTCTGCTGATGTTTCATTGTATTTCCTGTGACTTATTATGGTTTGTATATTATGTCATTTTCTACAAATGAATTGTGATGATAGTGACTGATCTATCACTGAAACATTGAGAATGCAATTTAATAAATGTTCTAAGAAGATTTCAAGTCATTCCTACCTGCTATGAAATGCTGGGATAATTCTTTCATAATTTAACAAAAACTCAAAATTTATGGATGGTACAAATGCAGTTGTAGTAACCCACACTTAACAATGCTCTTTACAGAAATCCTTTAAACAGAGTCCATGGATTTTCTGTAGACTTCGGTTATATAATTGGAAGTTATACACAAAAACTCACCAGTTAAAATAATAATAATAATAATTTATTAAAAGTGCATAAATGTTTCATAGTGCCCTCAAATTTGCTGTGGGTGGCAAAAAAAAAAAAAAAAAAAAAAAAAAAAAAAAAGAGGTAAGCGGTGCATTGAGGTATATGTGGAGACAAAAAAACATTATCTATGGAGGCAAAGAAGGGAGCATATGAAAGTATAGTGGTACCAACACTCTTATATGGGTGTGAAGCTTGGGTTTTAAATGCTGCAGCAAGGAGACAGTTGGAGGCAGTGAAGATGTCCTGTCTAAGGGCAATGTGTGGTGTAAATATTATGCAGAAAATTTGGAGTGTGGAAATTTGGGGAAGGTGTGGAGTTAATAAAAGTATTAGAGGGCTGAAGAGGGATTGTTGAGGTGGTTTGGTCATTTAGAGAGAATGGGTCAAAGTAGAATGACATGGAGAGCGTATAAATCTATAGGGGAAGGAAGGCGGGGTAGGAGTCGTCCTCGAAAAAGTTGGAGGGAGGGGGTAAAGGAGGTTTTGTGGGCGAGGGGCTTGGACTTTTTCCAGCAAGCGTGAGTGAGCGTGTTAGATATGAGTGAATGGAGATGAATGGTTTTTGGGACCTGACAAGCTGTTGGAGTGTGAGCAGGGTAATATTTAGTGAAGGGATTCAGGGAAACTGGTTATTTTTATTTAGCTGGACTTGAGTTCTGGAAATGGGAAGTACAGTGCCTGCACTTTGAAAGAGGGGTTTGGGATATTGGCAGTTTGGAGGGATATATTGTGTATCTTTATACGTATATGCTTCTAAACAGTTGTATTCTGAGCACCTTTGCAAAAACAGTGATTATATGTGAGTGAGGTCAAAGTGTTGAATGATGAAAGTATTTTCTTTTTGGGGATTTTCTTTCTTTTTGGGTCACCCTGCCTCGGTAGGAGACGGCCGACTTGTTAAAAGAAAAAAAAAGAGAAAGAATGAGGTTATGCAGTTTGTGTGTGCAGTATAAAAAAAAATCTTCCTTGATTATTGGGATGGCTTAAACCACGACCAAACATTCTCGATCATGGTTCATTAACTGAGAAATAAGAAAAAAATTTTTTTTGTGGGTGAGACAGTGGATTCAAAATGGAGGGCAAATGTTAATTAGGAGAGGACATTTATTAATGAACAGGGGAAAGGTTGCTTTAGTGGCTGCAATGTTTAATGTTATATCTGGGCTGTTTTTAAGTTGGAATCTGCTGGAAATGGTGTAAAATTGGCAAACTCTGACTTCTAGGCATTCAAATAGCATAGTTCTGATGGTTGAAAGAGCAATTTTTTGTTCTCACCAGATAGTACAGAAGGAATACTAGTGAAATTGCCAGAATTGGATCAGCATGAGCAGAATAATTGAACTAAAATAGACCTCAAATTGGACAAAATGAATGTTGCATGAAGTGCTCTCCTGCATCTTAACTTTGTGACTGCATATTGTGCAAGTTTCACATCAAATTTTTATTTTTTGGCATAATTACCTTGAGAAAAACGATTCTCTCCCATTTTTCAAATCTGTGGAAACAGAAAGGGCTTTCAACTTAAGATGTGTGGACAGTATAATGGTTAAAACGCAGTGTCATGCACAGCATGAGACAGAAAGAAATAAGCAACAATCCTGTTAATAGTGTAAAACATTTATGAGGCTTCTGTTTCACAGTTGTATGACAGAACAGTAGCCTTAAAGGTAACACCTTTGGCATATTGTAGGATTGAACCTAAGTCAAAAGATCCAGGTTCAGTCCTATGTGCATGGGTGAATGTCCTAACATATACCACTCATGTTCACTTATCAGGAAACATTGTGTTGCATCCCTAAGTGTCCCAGTGGAAATAAGCCACACTGATTGGCCTCCTTGAATTATCATGGGTTATTAATCCTCTGGGGGTTATTAAAACAAAGTTGTCTTTGCCAACCTGCTAATTATAAATTTTCTTTTGTAATTTTCAGAGAGTGATGACAGTAAAAGAGTGGATGAGGAGGACAGCATGTGGCTGGAGTGTGATGATGACAAGATCAAACTGGTGAGCTCTTCTGAAGTTAGTGAAATGATGCGAACTACAATCATTACTCCCTACCTTCTATTTTATTCTCGCCTCTGATCTCTCAGCTAGAGCTTTAATATTATAAAAATTTAGTGTAGAAAATGTGAATTTTCATTTTGATCTCTGAAAATTGTAGTAAAAGTTTATATTTGACTTGCATTTACTTGAAAAAAGTTATTCAGTTGCTCAGAAGCCAGATACAACCTTTTGTCAGTAAGATGAGAGCATTAGAATAAATGATATTGTTAGCATTAACCATTACATGTTGAACAGTTTCTCATATGATGAAAGTGCCTGAAATCTTTATATTAATGAAGGAGAGGGATGAGACTTCCATCAGCACCCACTACCTCTTGTGTCAGGTAATATTAACCAGAAAAAAAAGTCACCTGTTCGCATGTGAAGTGTGGAAGCATAATTTAGATGCCTAAGATGGACTTGTATTACAAAAGTCAAGCCTTTTGAACTTAGGTATAACTAAAACTTGCTAGGATTTCTCTTCTCATTATTCAAGAAGCAGCTGTTGACTATATAAAACAGAGACTTAAAACATGCCGAAAGTAGCGACATGCTTTGGATAACTTAATGTAAAATTGCTAGAAATTTAAAAGCAAAATGGTGCTATTGAAGAAGATTTCATAAAAATCTCTTAAAAAAGGTCCATCAATAACAGATTTACCGTATGTTTATTAGTGTGTAGAGCCATTATGAAGAGAGATGCTACTGCACAATGTGTTTGTTCCATAATACTATCCATGATTAAATATATTTAATATATATATTGTGTAAGTGATAATAATAATGTCTTTAATATCAGTGGAAAGAGGAAAAGTATTCTGATGATCCAAACAGCAGTGTCAAATGTTTTCTTTTTTATTTAGAAAACTGTGTAAAGTTTATCATTGGCTAGTGTTTATAACTCATTGATGTAATTATTGTCACAACTTCCAATGCAAGCTTTATCTTGTTCAAAAATATGGGTAGTTATCTCCTGTGTATATGAAAATGTTTCTTAATATATTTTTATATTAAAATTACATTGAAACTAGTGTAGAAATTATTAACTGTGATTAATAGGTAGCATTTATACTGTTTACATTTTTACAAAATAAAAATATTAAAGAAAAATAAGTGCATAAATTGTACACATACCTGTGTATAATAGGTACTGTTTTTACATATCTCTGTAGGGTCAGGTTCTGCTGTAGTTCTTACCATAACATTGAGGTGTATATCTGAACTGGGTTCTACATACCTTGCTACATTAGTGACCTAAACCACCAGCTCTGATATTAACCTGAATTTTTTTTTTGTTAATGTGTTTTCCACTTTAGGTATATGTGGTTCGTTGGTAAATGTGAGAAATATTGATAGGTAGGACAAAAGTTAAAGAAGTCTGAGGTAGGAAATTGTTCTAAACTTTTTTCTTTTTTAACAATTCGGCCGTCTCCCACTGAGGCAGGGTGACCCAAAAAGAAAGAAAATCCCCAAAAAGAAAATACTTTCATTATCATTCAACACTTTGACCTCACTCACACATAATCACTGTTTCTGCAGAGGTGCTCAGAACACAACAGTTTAGAAACATATACATATAAAGATACACAACATATCCCTCCAAACTGCCAATATCCCAAACCCCTTCTTTAGAGTGCAGGCATTGTACTTCCCATTTCCAGGACTCAAGTCCGGCTATATAAAAATAACCGGTTTCCCTGAATCCCTTCACTAAATATTACCCTGCTCACACTCCAACAGATCGTCAGGTCCCAAATACCATCCGTCTCCATTCACTCCTATCGAACACGCTCATGCACGCCTGCTGGAAGTCCAAGCCCCTCGCTCACAAAACCTCCCTTACCCCTTCCTTCCAACCTTTTCGAGGACGACCCCTACCCCACCTTCCTTCCCCTACAGATTTAAATGCTCTCCATGTCATTCTACTTTGATCCATTCTCTCTAAATGACGAAACCACCTCAACAACCCCTCTTCAGCCCTCTGACTAATACTTTTATTAACTCCATCTGCCTCCTCACTGCTGCATTCACAACCCAAGCTTCACACCCATATAAGAGTGTTGGTACTACTATACTTTCATACATTCCCTTCTTTGCCTCCATAGATAATGTTCTAAACATCAGTATATATGTTTATTGGTAAAATTACAGTGCAAATTTTCCTCAAAATATGCATGGCATACATGGCAAAAATTATTACAACTGTACAATTTTTTTTTTTTTGTTCCCAAGGCACTTCATTGCTAAGGATCTGCAGATTTACTCACTCCTTTGAAAATATATCAGAGCCAGTCCATGCTCACTGAAATTAATGACATGAATATTTGCAAAAATGCTGAGTTTTTTAGCAGAGGTATTTATTTCACTATTTATGAAATTGACTATTATCCTATGAAGGCACCATTGTGCCATATACCAAATTCAGGATATTTTGGTTATGTGTTTTTTGGAATTTTACTGAATCTATTTATTATATTGTTCATTCACCACCTAGGCTGGGTGACCCAAAGAAGATAAGTTACTTTGCCTTCCTGTCCATAAAGACAGACATTGCAGTTCAGTGTTGATCCATTGTACTTCATTGTTCCTACCCCATTTTCAGAGTACAGATCTCTACTTCCCAAGCTCAGATCTGGCTAATTGGTTTTAATTAGTCCGTTCATAAATATTAGCTTGCTCATACTTGAGCAATACATCGAGTTTTATAAACCACTGTCTTTTAGTCCACCCTATAAAACTTTCAGCTGAATCTCACTCTTCATAGTTTAGTTTCCTTTATCTTGATTCTATTGTTCTCTGGGATTTCTTCAAGCTTGGTGAAATTCATTTGTAGTCAAATTGTTTTTTCCTTAAAATTTAATGCAAGCTCCCACCAGTTATTGACTTTGATAATTCACATCTCCAGCCTTGATCAGTATCTTAGGCATTATAATCATTTATGAATTGTACTGGAAATTTCAGGTTTCAACAAATGCCAAAAGTTCCAAAAAAAAAAAAAAAAAAAAAAGAATAGAATGCTCTTTAGAATCAGAAAATCTTCTCTTCATAAACTCTATACAAAAGTTGCATTCATTGTTACTAGAGAATTTCTTTCATATCTAGGAATGCTTTTAATTCTACCAGGATTCTTAAAAGTTCAGAGGAAATACATTTGTTTTAGTATTTATGCCCTTTTCTATTCCTAAGCCTAAATCAAGAACCTACTGTAGTAAAGTTGCATCCTTCTTGTTATCTTAAAGATAATTACTGTATATGGCTTATGCGCGTGCGTACACACACACACACACACACACACACACACACACACACACACACACTCTAGGGAGGGGACACAGAAACAAGAGGCCACAATTGGAAGTTGAAGACACAAATGAGTCAGAGAGATAGTAGGAAGTATTTCTTCAGTCATAGAGTTGTAAGGCAGTGGAATAGCCTAGAAAATGAAGTAGTGGAGGCAGGAACCATACACAGTTTTAAGACGAGGTTTGATAAAGCTCGTGGAGCGGGGAGAGAGAGGGCCTAGTAGCAACCGGTGAAGAGGCGGGGCCAGGAGCTAGGACTCGACCCCTGCAACCACAAATAGGTGAGTACACACACACACACACACACACATTTTCTTGGACTGCAAGAAGGCGTTTGACACAGTTCCATACAAGAGATTGGTGCAAAAACTGGAGGACCAAGCAGGGATAACAGGGAAGGCACTACAATGGATCAGGGAATACTTGTCAGGAAGACAGCAGCGAGTCATGGTACGTGGCGAGGTGTCAGAGTGGGCACCTGTGACCAGCGGGGTCCCGCAGGGGTCAGTCCTAGGACCAGTGCTGTTTCTGGTATTTGTGAACGACATGACGGAAGGAATAGACTCTGAGGTGTCCCTGTTTGCAGATGACGTGAAGTTGATGAGAAGAATTCACTCGATCGAAGACCAGGCAGAACTACAAAGGGATCTGGACAGGCTGCAGACCTGGTCCAGCAATTGGCTCCTGGAGTTCAATCCCACCAAGTGCAAAGTCATGAAGATTGGGGAAGGGCAAAGAAGGCCGCAGACGGAGTACAGTCTAGGGGGTCAGAGGCTACAAACCTCACTCAAGGAAAAAGATCTTGGGGTGAGTATAACACCAGGCACATCTCCTGAAGCGCACATCAACCAAATAACTGCTGCAGCATGTGGGCGCCTAGCAAACCTCAGAACAGCATTCCGACATCTTAATAAGGAATCATTCAGGACCCTGTACACCGTGTACATTAGGCCCATATTGGAGTATGCGGCACCAGTTTGGAACCCACACCTAGCCAAGCACGTGAAGAAACTAGAGAAAGTGCAAAGGTTTGCAACAAGACTAGTCCCAGAGCTAAGAGGTATGTCCTACGAGGAGAGGTTAAGGGAAATCAACCTGACGACACTGGAGGACAGGAGAGATAGGGGGGACATGATAATGACATACAAAATACTGAGAGGAATTGACAAGGTGGACAAAGACAGGATGTTCCAGAGATTGGACACAGTAACAAGGGGACACAGTTGGAAGCTGAAGACACAGATGAATCACAGGGATGTTAGGAAGTATTTCTTCAGCCACAGAATAGTCAGTAAGTGGAATAG